ACCCGCCGCCACCATTCTGACCACTTGAAGGTGCTAAGCAGCTGGGTGTGGGCGAACAGGGAACAGTCGTGAGTTCCTCATTCGTGCAATTATCGTTGGAAACGAGAAAGGCGCGCCATTGATGCGCTGGCACGTCTCCCCCATATGACTACCGCGGAACGGGCCTTGGACTTGAATTTTTTCCCTTGATTCTATCTAGACTTCTGCCCCGTTTCTCGGGGCGTGTTCCGCCCACAATGGGCGTGTTCCTCTCAGTGCAATCGCCAACCTCTTGCACACTTTTGGTCACTCTTTCCTGCCGGGGAGCGAGATCCCATCGTTCGCAAAACGGTTCTAGAGACCCCTAAGCAACGGGAAAAAATAGATAAAGGTCGGCAAGTGGTCAGAGGATAGGAAGAGGGAGCAACACCTCGAGTGGGAGGAGCGTGCGCCGAGGCGGGTGGCGCAAATTAAAAAGTTTCAAACAGCACCCCAGGGACATCAACTTTATACATTTAGTGCAGGGCACATCATCTTTACAGGAAATCTCTTGAAATACGACCCCATCCCCGTTCAACAAACTCTCAACCCCCTGAATGGTCATGTGCCCTGCTTTTGTGGCCGCTTCACCTATAAAACCTACGAATAACATACCTTTTCATTGATTTCCGCGGACAAAACATGTCCTCCCTGGATCATATGTTTACCCTGACGGGTGAACTCGTCAATGTGAGGCTTACGTCCTTGCATCTGAAAAGAGAAATCCTTTTACCACAAGTACCACTTCAACAAGCACCCACATTCTGGGCGCAAAGCTCATATGAGACAGCTTTCAATTTGTTACTAGAAAGAGTCATTTCCCCCACCCACTAACCTCAAGGTTATACTCATCATGGCGCCGTGCCAAAGCTTCACAGCCAATGACGTCACGTGGAAGCTGCTCGGATGTCATCACTGTCTGCATTCTCTTCATCCATTGCATTAGTTCACGGTATTCCTGAAAAGTTATAGAGCTTGCAATAGCCCTTGGCAACTCTTAGCACTTATCTTAGCACTTATTGAAGCCTTTAGCCCTACCTGGAAGTACGCTTGAAGGCTTTCCATTTGTTGAAGTCGTTCATGATGTCTTCTCGTTCCTTCCAGGATATCCTTCAGTTGTTCCTCCATATCCATCTTACGCACTTCAAGGTGCTCACGGGTGTTAGGGAATGCTGTCCATAGCCTCTCAGCTTCACGGCAGAGTTCAGCCACCTAAAAGGTATGAAGGCAGTCAATCGGGACAGTCTGGCTCTAAATAGGGCTATGCTAAAGGGCGCACCTGCTTCTCCACAGCTCGCATTCCGTGAACGAATTCCTCATGGCGTTGCATTTGAACCTTTATTGTGGCAAGATCGGCATGGGCCAAATCCTCGTTCTCCATTGCAACGCCAGTTGCCTCTTTGTCCTGTAACAATTACCAGATTGAGGAAATTCAACTGTAACTTCTACAGTATTACCGCAGAAGTACCTGAAGCCAGTTGAGGGTTTCGTCAGCCTCTTGATCAAATCTGTGCACTTGGCGAGCACCAGCTAAAGCTTGCTGTCGTTCAGTGGCCGCTTCATTCACGGATGTCCACAGGCTTTGTAGGTCAGTTCCTTTAGCGCGAATTGATGCCGCATATGGATGTCCTTCAAAGAAATGGTGGTCAGATTGAGGATGAAGGGAACAAGGAAGGAATGTGCAACTTTCTTGATTTGATATCTATAAAAGCAAGGATGTATTACTCACCACTTCTGAGTAGCTCTTCCTGTGCCCGCTGCACAGCAGCTACACGTTCACCAGCAGCAGCCAGTTCACGAACGACAGTTTCAAACTTCTCAGTGAGCTGGACACAGTCTTCCAGATCTCTACCATAGTCTTCGGAGGAAGCCAGCTGTAAAGATATCAAGTAAGTAATAATTGCCGTCATCATTCGGCGCCTCTTCTGACCCATTGAATAAGCCTACGCACACATATCGATAACAAAATCTCGAATATGAGTGACATTTTCACTTTGAAGGCAATTGGCACAATGACTAGGGGCAGGCGGTTGCTGCCAACGTCACTGGTGGACGGGCCTAGTGAGGTGTGGCCGAACCATTCGCAGCCCTTTCACCAATGGCGTTGACAGAAACCGCCCGCCCGCAGCCACGGTACCCTTCGCCTTAGAGAGCGCCTCTCATTCAGCCGTGCTTATCATATTCCTCGGTTCTCTCCATCACTCGACCGGATTTCGAGAGTTTTGTCAGTCTGTCAATCTCTCGCGCACTGACGGCTCTTGCTCAATGAACCCCTCAACCTCTTTTTCTGCATGGTACATTCCATTAAAATGTCCTGTATTCTTTCACCTGGGCCTGATTTGCTCCACTGCGGAACCCTCAATAAATGAACTTCTTAAGGAACCTGCCGTGAGGACTTATAAAAGGCAGTGGTTGTGTGAGTGTTGAAAGAGACGAATGATTTATGACATCTGAGGCTTAGCCTTTCAAGGATGGAATGGTAGCTCCACGGTGGGATATTAGCAACTTTTCATGATATAAACGTTGGAACGTGCACTTCATAGAGGTCACGGATCACTACATAGGCAAGAAAGCACAGACAGGAAGCGAAAATTGATTGAATCAAGGACCAGGTTCTTACGGTCTGTAGGCCAAAGTTCTCTACAACGCAAGTTCCCCTTGAACGTCACTGAGAATAAATACGCACGAAAATCCAATCCAAAACCAAAAGATCTTCGAATTTCTTGAACACCAAAATTCGCGAAAAAAGTCAGAC